GTATGAAGCTGGTTGCTTCTAAATATTGATTTCTGTCAGGCTATGTTGTGGTCAATCATTGCATACACAGTGCACACGGCAATGATTGTGCAATAGCTAGCTAGCTACACTATTATTTTTTATTTATTTCACCTTTATTTAACCAGGTAAACCAGTTGAGAACAAGTTCTCATTTACAACTGCGACCTGGCCAAGATAAAGCAAAGCAGTGCGATAAAAACAACAACACAGAGTTACATATGGGGTAAAACAAAACAAAGTCAAAAATACAACAGAAATACATATAATATACAGTGTGCAAATTTAGCAAGTTATGGAGGTAAGGCAATAAAATAGGCTATAGTGCAAAATAATTACAATTAGTATTAACACTGGAATGATAGATGTGCAAGAGATGATGTGCAAATAGAGATACTGGGGTACAAATGAGCAAAATAAATAACAATATAGGGATGAGGTAGTTGGGCGGGCTAATTTCAGATGGGCTGTGTACAGGTGCAGTGATCGGTAAGGTGCTCTGACAACTGATGCTTAAAGTTAGTGAGGGAGATAAGAGTCTCCAGCTTCAGAGATTTTTGCAATTTGTTCCAGTCATTGGCAGCAGAGAACTGGAAGGAATTGCGGCCAAAGGAGGTGTTGGCTTTGGGGATGACCAGTGAGATATACCCGCTGGAGCGCAGACTACGGGTGGGTGTTGCTATGGTGACCAATGAGCTAAGATAAGGCGGGGATTTGCCTAGCAGTGATTTATAGATGGCCTGGAGCCAGTGGGTTTGGCGACGAATATGTAGTGAGGACCAGCCAACAAGAGCGTACAGGTCACAGTGGTGGGTATTATATGGGGCTTTGGAGACAAAACGGATGGCACTATGATAGACTACATCCAATTTGCTGAGTAGAGTGTTGGAGGCTATTTTGTAAATGACATCGCCGAAGTCAAGGATCGGTAGGATAGTCAGTTTTACGAGGGCATGTTTGGCAGCATGAGTGAAGGAGGCTTTGTTGCGAAATAGGAAACCGATTCTAGATTTAACTTTGGATTGGAGATGCTTAATGTGAGTCTGGAAGGAGAGTTTACAGTCTAACCAGACACCTAGATATTTGTAGTTGTCCACATACTCTAGGTCAGACCCGTCGAGAGTAGTGATTCTAGTCGGGTGGGCGGGTGCAAGCAGCGTTCGGTTGAAGAGCATGCATTTAGTTTTACTAGTGTTTAAGAGCAGTTGGAGGCTACTGAAGGAGTGTTGTATGGAATTGAAGCTCGTTTGGAGGTTTGTTAACAGTGTCCAATGAAGGGCCAGATGTATACAAAATGGTGTCGTCTGCGTAGAGGTGGATCTGAGAGTCACCAGCAGCAAGAGCGACGTCATTGATATACACAGAGAAAAGAGTCGGCCCAAGAATTGAACCCTATGACACCCCCATAGAGACTGCCATAGGTCCAGACAACAGGCCCTCCGATTTGACACATTGAACTCTATCTGAGAAGTAGTTGGTGAACCAGGCGAGGCAGTCATTTGAGAAACCAAGGCTATTTAGTCTGCCAATAAGAATGCGGTGAAGACACAGTTGAAAACGGTAAAAACGCAGTTGAAAACGGTAGTTTACATACACTTAGGTTGGAGTCATTAAAACTAGTTTTTCAACCACTCCACAAATTTCTTGTTAACAAACTATAGTTTTGGCAAGTCGGTTAGGACATCTACTTTGTGCATGACACAAGTAATTTTTCCAACAATTGTTTACAGGCAGATTATTTCACTTATAATTAACTTTATCACAATTCCAGTGGGTCAGAAGTTTACATACACTAAGTTGACTGTGCCTTCAAACAGCTTGGAAAAATCCAGAAAATGATGTCATGGCTTTAGAAGCTTCTAATAGGCTAATTTATATCATTTGAGTCAATTGGAGGTGTACCTGTGGATGTATTTCAAGGCCTACCTTCACACTCAGTGCCTCTTTGCAAGACATCATGGGAAAAGCAAAAGAAATCAGCCAAGACCTCAGAAAATAAGCCTGGTTCATCCTTGGGAGCAATTTCCAAACACCTGAAGGTACCACGTTCATCTGTACAAACAATAGTATGCAAGTATAAACACCATGGGACCACGCAGCCGTCATACCGCTCAGGAAGGAGACGCGTTCTGTGTCCTAGAGATGAACGTACTTTGGTGCGAAAAGTGCAAATCAATCCCAGAACAACAGCAAAGGACCACATGAAGATGCTGGAGGAAACAGGTACAAAAGTATCTATATCCACAGGAAAACAAGTCCTATATCGACAAACCTGAAAGGCCGCTCAGGAAGGAAGAAGCCACTGCTCCAAAACCGCCATAAAAAAGCTGCACATGGGGACAAAGATCGTACTTTTTGGAGAAATGTCCTCTGGTCTGATTAAACAAAAATAGAACTGTTTGTCCATAATGACCATCGTTATATTTGGCGGAAAAAGGGGGTTGCTTGCAAGCCGAAGAACACCATCCCAACCTTGAAGCACGGGGGTGGCAGCATCATGCTGTGGGGGTGCTTTGCTGCAGGAGGGACTGGTGCACTTCACAAAATAGATGGCATCATGAGGAAGGAAAATGATATGGATATATTGAAGCAACATCTCATGACATCAGTCAGGAAGTTAAAGCTTGGTCGCAAATGGGTCTTCCAAATGGACAATGACCCCAAGCATACTTCCAAAGTTGTGGGAAAATGGCTTAAGGACAACAAAGTCAAGGTATTGGAGTGGCCATCACAAAGCCCTGACCTCAATCCTATAGAACATTTGTGGGCAGAACTGAAAAAGAATGTACGAGCAAGGAGGCCTACAAACCTGACTGTTACACCAGCTCTGTCAGGAGGAATGGGCCAAAATTCACCCAACTTACTGTGGGAAGCTTATGGGAGGCTACCCGACACGTTTGACCCAAGTTAAACAATTTAAAGGCAATGCTACCGAATACTAATTGAGTGTATGTAAACTTCTGACCCACTGGGAATGTGATGAAAGAAAGAAAAGCTGAAATAATTCATTCTCTCTACTATTATTCTGACATTTCACATTCATAAAATAAAGTGGAAATCCTAACTGACCTAAAACAGGACATTTTTACTAGGATTAAATGTCAGGAATTGTGAAACTGAGTTTAAATGTATTTGGCTAAGGTGTATGTAAACTTCCGACTTCAACTGTATATACAAAAGTACATATATATATATATATATATATATATATGTGTGTGTGTATATTATACATGTATATATACACAGAAGTACCGGTATGTGGACACCCCTTCAAATGAGTGGATTTGTATGAAATCGAGCACACAGCCATGCAATCTCCATAGACAAACATTGGCAGTAGAATGGCCTTACTGAATAGCTGTGACTTTCAACGTGGTACAGTCATAGGAGGCCACATTTCCAACAAGTCAGTTTGTCAAATTTCTGCCCTGCTAGTGAGTAAGTGCTGTTATTGTGAAGTGGAAACATTTAGCAGCAGCAACAACTCAGCCGCGAAGTCCTATGCCACACGAGCTCACAGAACGGGACCGTCTGTCCTCGGTTGCAACACTCAATACTGAGTTTCAAACTGCCTCTGGAAGTAATGTCATCACCAGAACTATTTGGGGAGCTTCATGAAATGGGTTTCCATGGCCAAGCACACAAGCCTAGGATCACCATGCGCAATGTCAAGCGTCGGCTGTCGTGGTGTAAAGCTCGCCGCCTTTTGGATACGCGCGTTCTCTGGAGTGATGAATCACGCTTCACCATCTGGCAGTCCGACGGAAGAATCTGGGTTTGGCGGATGCCAGGAGAACACTGCCTGCCCCAATACATAGCACCAACTGTCAAGTTTGGTGGAGGAATAATGGTTTTGGGCTTTTGTTAATGGTTCGGGCTAGGCCACTTTGTTCCAGTTAAGGGAGATCTTAACGCTACAGCATACAATGACATTCTAGATGATTCTGCGCTTCCAACTTTGTGGCAACAATTTGGGGAAGGCCCTTTACGGTTTCAGCATGACAATGCCCCCGTGCACAAAGCGAGGTTCATACAGAAATGGTTTGACTGGCCTGCACATAGCCCTAACCTCAACCCCAACGAACACCTTCGGGATGAATTGGAACGCTGACTGCGAGCCAGGCCTAATCGCGCAACATCAGTGCCCGACCTCACTAATGCTGTTGTGGCTGAATGAAAGCAAGTCCCCGCAGCAATGTTATAACATCTAGTGGAAATCCTTCCCAGAAGTGTGGAGGCTGTTATAGCAGCAAAGGAGGGACCAACTCCATATTAATGCCCATGATTGTGTAATGACATGTTTGACGAACAGTTGTCCACATACTTTTGATCATGCAGTGTATCTACGTAAGTGGGTATTCATCCAGAGAAAGTAGGCTGATAACGAGCGGTGGCGCAGTGGTCTAAGGCACTGCATCTCAGTGCTAGCTGTGCCACTAGAGATCCTAGTTCGAGTCCATGCTCTGTCGCAGCCGGCCGCGACCGGGAGACCCATGGGCGGCGCACAATTGGTCCAGCGTCGTCCAAGGTAGGGCAGGGTTTGGCCGGCAGGGATGTAGCTCAGTTGGTAGAGCATGGCGTTTGCAATGCCAGGGTTGTGGGTTCTATTCCCACGGGGGGCCAGTATGAAAAATAAAAAAATTATTTATGCACTCACTAACTTGTAAGTCGCTCTGGATAAGAGCGTCTGCTAAATGACTTAAATGTAAATGTTATTTGGAAGTTATTGGTTCTTTGGTGGCTGCCGTGCTCCTAAAGCCTGATTTGAAAGGGTTTACATTTGTATTCCTTCAGCAGGCTCTGTAATCAGGAGCGTCAGTGTCTGAGACTAGTTTTTTTGTATTAGACTTTCAATCACTCACTCATTCTCTAGTTAAGTGGCTGGGTTTTTGGTTATTTTGTGTGCTGCAAATTAGTTTTTGTTCTGTGTATTTTGTCAAGCAGTGAAAAATGAATTTCCTCATGTGAGGAGAGGATAATGTATGAATCTGACTCTCTCCTCTCTCTCCTCCCTCCCAGATGTCCCTCCGGCGGAGCAGGAGAAGCTGTTTGTCCAGAAGCTGCGTCAGTGCTGCGTCCTGTTTGACTTTTTGTCCGACCCTCTGAGCGACCTGAAATGGAAGGAGGTGAAGCGGGCGGCGCTCAGCGAGATGGTGGAGTACATCACCCACAACAGGAACGTCATCACAGAGCCCATCTACCCAGAGGTGGTGCACGTGGTCAGTAGACACAGTGAAGAATGCCTTGGTCGTATTCATTAGTGCACACTGTACCAAAATGTTTTTAAACAGAAAAGGGAAAGAAAAGTGTTTGTAGTAGTCCCTAGTAGACGTTGATGTATTGTCCTTAGGGGTGTGAATGTTTTAAAAGTTTAAACGTTTAAACTAAGTTTGGATCCTTAACGTTTCAAAAAAATCCCTAACTTAATTACAATCACAGTTAAGTTATAACAACACATATTATTTTCAGTTTTATAGACTGCTATAAAGCCTGGGGAAGTTGTGTAATTCAAATAAAGCCAGAGTGGAAGAGGCTAACCTTAGCCTACTTGGTGAATTTGCAAGGCATACAAGACAAGACATATGACCACGCTTCTGCCTTCTCCTGCCTCTGTCTCGCGCGCTGGCCTGCCTGCTGTCTCTTTGCTAGTTTATGTTCAGACTTCGGTCTGTTGCGAGTAGAATATCCTAGCCTATTCTGGCATCGACGGCTTTGGGCCAGTCTTGCGAGCACGGGGTAGCCTACTCTAGGGTTGGGCGGTATCCAGATTTTCATACCTTGTTATACGATTTCTTTACCATACCGGGGAATATGGTATTACCGGGGTGCAAACAAGGGGCGCTATTTCTTTCCAGACCAACAAAAAACAAATTTATATTTTTTGTTGTTGCACAAAACAAATGTAAGCAGCAGGGATTTTGATCCAGGAGGGGATTGATTGTCTCCGCTGTAAACAAGAAGCTTGATCTTGCAAGCTAGCCACTTAGCTAGCAAGTTATCAAACAAAATGCATAGTTGGAGCCCCGAGCTGGAGATATTTTAGTTGGCATATCTTAGATTGTTAGCTTATAGTTTCAAGCAGTGCTGTAGCACGCAAACCCTCCCCAAATGGGTATTTTATGATTATAATATTTTTATAAATGTTACGGTATTGAAAATCATACTGTCAGTATTTCAAAATGCCCCGGTAAACGTTATAACCGGTATACCGCCCAACCCTAGCCTACTCTTTTGTTTTAGCCTCATATGAAAATACAGTAGGCTATCGGTAGCCAGTATCGATTACGCTTTTCAGACAATGGAAAGTGGCCCGTTGAAAGAGCTGCGGCGTGTTTGTCTGTTAGGGTAGACTACACTACTGTTTTTTAAATGCCGACACGGAACCTTCTCTGTTGAGATGAACTAACATTTTACTTGTCTTTTAAAGGAATAGCGCTTCTGTAGCAGGACTAAAGTCCATCACTAGGCAACCAGAACTGTCAATCAAATAATTTCGAGCTGCTGCTTGCAGATCACTCTCTCCTAAAAAAGTACTTTAAAGTTAAATACCGTGACTTACCAAGCCATTTAGTAGAAATAAAACATCTAACTACCATACCATTAAACTGCATAAAAACAACAACACAGCAGCGTTTATTGTTGTCAGGGAAAAAATACAGAACTTTTTACGCCGGAGCAGAATTCTACTGTCTGAAAAGGTACAGACATGTTGCTGAACTTTTTTTTTTGGCTGAAAAGTTATCAATTGTCGCTATTGACATGTAACTGTAGCTGCGTTCTATGTCTGTAAAGTGTTGTGGTAGATATAACTTCATTGCCTGGCTCTAGCGGTCATACGTAATAGAAGCATTATTCTGCATTGTAAATTGATGTGGAGTTTTCTGATAGTTTCTTATCGTTTTAACAGAAAACCGATAAACAAATGGCTGTTTTAAACACTAAGCAACATTTTCCATTCGTCACATCCCTAATTGTCCTCATAAACTTGCTATCAATGGTCACCAAAGATGATCCTCGGTGATGTTTGTGTTGCAAACACGTTTAGTATCAGTGTTCGTAGGCCCCACACAAACAACCATTTTGTGCAGGGTTCTCTGGCTTGAGTGACTTCATAACCCTGCTATCCTCAAGTGGTCACGAAAGCTATAAGCCATTTCAATCAATTAAGCTGTCACAGAGAAGCTTTCAAATGGCATATTCCACATACCACAAAGTTTCCACATTTCTCAGTCTCACGTTTTTTGTCGGTTGCCTTTTGCAGAAATACTTCAGGTTATTTCAGTTCTATTTAGGCTAGATGTTGTCTTTTAGTTCCTGAGGCATAGGCACGTCCCATTCCCTACCATGTGAACTCTGTGAACCCAGGGCATGGCAGAGTGGAACTGCTTTACACACACTGAACTTGAATCTGTTACCCAGAGTCAGGGGCGGGGCCTACTTTGTTATTCTATAGTATGGCTAGCAGTAGGCCTATTGTCTACCTAGCTAGCTGTTATCAGCCAAGGGCTAGCACTGTGGGCTCAATATCTGTGTTACATATTACTCAAATCAAATTGGTGTGAAAGTCTGAACTCATCCTTTGTGGGTTCGTCGTCATGGGCTCACCTACCTCTATAACAGATATACGTGTTGCCCCTTCAGTTCAGCCCTGGTTTAGCAGACCAGGCAGACTACTAGCTGTAGTGGAGTGAATTAAATACTGGGTCTGTGTATTAGCCTAAATGTAAATGGGTCCATTGAGGATATGGCTGGGGATATGATGTGTCGTGGTGCTGCCTGCCTGCCTGGCAGCCAGCCAGGTCTGAATTTAAATGGCCTTTGATGTTTATCAAAGCAGGCTTCAATGTCACGCAGGAAACCAAGGATGATCAAGGTGCAAATGTCCCCCCATTCTCCTGATCCTGCCTCTATTTGATCAGTGTAGCAGAAAATGCAAGGCCGCTGCCAAATCAGCATAAGAATATACTCTAGGTTTACTTTAGTTCTCCCCTTCCTGAATCCTTCACTTTGATGTGTTCACTGCTTTTAACATCAAAGTATGGAGAGGTGGACTCTAAAGGGTGTGTTCTTTATGGTTAAATAGACCACGAACGACGGCTCTTTGAGAGAGCTCAATATTGATAAGTGCACTATTGTTAGACTGTATCAGCGTCAGATTGATAAAGCGCTCCCCTGTTTGTGACTTGGTGGTCCATTAGACAGCCACACTGCCCCCCCCCCCCCCCCCAAAAAAAGGACATTGAGAAGTCAGTCACAAGTGAGTGCATGTTAACCTCAACCTGCTGGGGGGGGGGGGGGGGGGGGGGGGGGGGGAGGTCATTCTAGTGTTTTCTGAAAGGTGAGAGGTCATTGATTGGATTTATATAGTGCTTTTCTACCAACTGAGGTACTCAAAGCGCTTATCATAGTAAGGGGGAAACCTACCTCATCCACGGCGACCATTTTTGTGCCAGAACGCTCACCACACATCAGCTAGAGAGGGGATGATTAATATATGCCAATTAGCAATGAGGGGGATGATAAGGTGGCCATGACGAAATGGGGCCAGGTTGGGAATTTTGCCTTAACACCAGGGTTAACACACCTACTCTTACGATAAGTGGCATGGGATTTTTAATGACCACAGACAGTCAGGACATCCGTTTTAATGTCCCATCCGATAGACGGCATCCTATGCTGGGCAATGTCCCATTCACTGCCCTGAGGCATTGGGATCTCCTTAGGCCAGAGGGAAGAGTGCCCCCTACTGGCCCGCCAACACCACTTCCAGCAGCATCTGGTCTCCCATCCAGGGACCAACCAGGACTGAGCCTGCATAGCTTCAGATGCTAGCCAGCAGTGGGATGCAAGGTGGTATGTTGGCTTGGAGAGGTGAACAAAAAGAGTAGCCTAAGCGTCGGCTGGTAAAAAAATAAAGATGTCTGCTGCTCATTGGTTGAGGGAGGGGGGGGTGGGGGCTGTAAATGCCATCTTAAAGGTCCTGACATCATTCTCCTCCTGTGCTCTCTAGTCTGCTACTGGTTTGTGCTTGGCTGCGTTGATTGAAAAGGTTTTTAAATGTGAAAATGATGAATACGTAAATGATCAAGAAGATACAGGCTGATGGGTGAAGAGGTCAGATGAAAATCTGTACTGTTCTCTTATATTTAGTTTTATTCACAATACACATGCAACAAAGGGTGTTTCTCAATATGCATACTGCCGTGCTCTGCACTCCCATCCTCAGTGCGTTCTTCGAGGACATTTTCTTGAGTACGTTCTTATTAGGACGAGAGTGTGGAGAAAGCATACATTTTACATTTTGAGAAGCATTACACACTCTCGTGCTAATGCATTACCATTGACCTTTTTAGAGTAAATTGCGTCATCAACATGTCGGTTGATAATCTATGCTGGACTTTCCTGGATCACGACTATCCTCTGTAAATGTTATGTGTCAAACATTTGTAGATTTAAACATCTGATTTTGTTTCATATTGCATTATTGTCAGTAAAGCAAATTGAGACTGTTAATCAGTTTGTATTATTTAGCTACATAGACTAGTGTTGCACGGTATACCGGTACCAGGGTAATATCATGGTACCAAAACCTCATGGTACTTAGAATACCGTAGTACCGTTTCATATGATGCTACCACATTTTTAGTCCCTACCGGTCTAAAGAACCCGCTGGTGCCTGTTTTATATCATGTTAATAGTCTGTTTTGTTTAGAAATTCAGTTGAATTTAAGCAACAGCAACTAGTCTCTTGTATGCGCCGATCCAATAATGTCTGCTTCACTTTCATGCGCCTGTCACGTGGCAGCTGTAATCAGCCGGCAGCTGCATCCCCTTCCAGCCATCACTCACCTGCATCTCTGTCCGGTCTTCCTGCGCATTTATTCCGCCATCAATTTTTTTATATAGCCATGATGGTGAACGGGGATGCAGTCCCTGATGAGTCTTCTGTTACATTTGATACATTGGAGCAGCGTGCAGAGCAAGCAAAGTTGATACATTGTATAATTTCATCCTTGGTATAACCAAGAGCACAGGCCAGTCTGAGTAGACTTTGCAAGTTCGCTGTCTCACAGCCTCAGACTGCCAGAGAGGACAAATACGGCACAGCTTCCCGAAAGGCATGCTTGCAGCTTACAGCAAAGAAAATGGCTTGTCTCTAGCACAAATGGTAAAAAATATATGACCCATATTAACTTGGCTACCTTTTTAAAATATAATTTCACAAACCATGTTGAAGTCCTTTTGAAACGAATCCCGGGTCTCTAATTATTGGTTTGATAACAAACAACGTTGTTCAGTCATGTTACCTAGCTAACAACCTGCTACCTTGACAGTAGGTCTAGGCAAATTTGATTGGCACAGGAAGAAATGAAAAGGTTCTGCTTCGCTACTCATGAGATGTTTTCAAAAGTAGGATTTATATATTTTTGCCTAATGGAAGCCTAAACTATCTCTTTCTGGTGCTCCTTAAATTATGTTTGGTGCCTAACGTTTTTAAAGTTGGCAGCACTGTGTGTGTGTGTGTGTGTGTTTTGAGAGCGAGTGAGACTGAGGGAGGGAGAGCGTGTGGGTCTGTTTACTGAAGAGTAAAGGTTTCATGCAGTGTTCTCCCTGTACTGCCACAATGACATGCAGATCATTATGCATGTATATTCCTCCAGACAAATCACAGGTAGTCCTTTGCAAATATGAGTTATCAGCCATTCTATGCAGTATTCTATTATACAGTGTGAAGTTAAATTATATGTTGTATTGTGTAGAAGTGTGAATATCAGTGATATTTTTTTTGTGTACACATGCTCATGTCTTTTAAAAACAGGCTTCGGGGGGATGTGGCAAACAGTACGCTAGACCACTCAGTATCACGGTACTACTCTGTATGGTGATGCATGGCCTGGTATCGTTAATAAAATGTTGGTATCGTGACATCACTAACATAGACAATTGTTTAACGAAAGTAACTAGCTAGCTAACTTTAGCAAGAGACAACTCGTGTTTACTTTATGCATTAGCTTGCAACATACTTTAACGTTAACATAGAACATTAGCATAGTCAATGACCCTACTTGTCTACTAGCAAAAGGTAACTTGCTAGTGCTGGAACTATAGGTTAACCCTCGTCCATGGTTAGCAAGCTGCCCAAGTTAGCTGGCTAGCTAAGCTATCAATAGTCATGATCCATTGCTGCATGGGCTACTACACAGCCTGCAAGTACTCTGTGAACCCTGGGAAAACATGCCAATATAACCTGGTACTAGCTACGCTACAAATACTTACACGAGTCAGTAGACGAGAGATGTGCGTGCCTCAGTCGCCTCAGCACAACTATGCCCTGTAATGCGTTACTGCCTGTAACACTCAATCTGCTGCGAGCCAGCCAGTCTAATGGCAATACAGACGACACAAGACAACTACATAAACAAATGTTTAACTTCAGAATGACCAGTTAGCTATATGTGAATCGTGATAATTTAGCTAGCCAGCTAGTTCTAAAGGCAAAAATGACCGAAAACGAATGTTATGCAAGGTAGATGACTAGCTGTCAATTCTCCGTGGCTAGCTACCAGCTCTTCGTGGCCAGTTAGACCTATTGACTTACTATGGGATTGCATTCTATGCAAACTACAGTGGGTATTGTAGGCAGGTAAACATGCCAAAATTAACACGGTATGTTAAAATATTGATTTCAATTTTTTTTTGTCGTTTTTACGTGGTTGCGTCATACACTGCTCAAAAAAATTAAGGGAACACTTAAACAACACAATGTAACTCCAAGTCAATCACACTTCTGTGAAATCAAACTGTCCACTTAGGAAGCAACACTGATTGACAGTACATTGCACATGCTGTTGTGCAAATGGAATAGACAACAGGTGGAAATTATAGGCAATTAGCAAGACACCCCCAATAAAGGACTGGTTTTGCAGGTGGTGACCACAGACCACTTCTCAGTTCCTATGCTTCCTAGCTGATGTTTTGGTCACGTTTGAGTGCTGGCGGTGCTTTCACTCTAGTGGTAGCATGAGACGGAGTCTACAACCCACACAAGTGGCTCAGGTAGTGCAGCTCATCCAGGATGGCACATCAATGCGAGCTGTGGCAAGAAGGTTTGCTGTGTCTGTCAGCGTAGTGTCCAGAGCATGGAGGCGCTACCAGGAGACAGGCCAGTACATCAGGAGACGTGGAGGAGGCCGTAGCAGGGCAACAACCCAGCAGGAGGACTGCTACCTCCGCCTTTGTGCAAGGAGGAGCAGGAGGAGCACTGCCAGAGCCCTGCAAAATGACCTCCAGCAGGCCACAAATGTGCATGTGTCTGCTCAAACGGTCAGAAACAGATTCCATGAGGGTGCTATGAGGGCCCGACGTCCACAGGTGGGGGTTGTGCTTACAGCCCAACACCGTGCAGGACGTTTGGCATTTGCCAGAGAACTCCAAGATTGGCAAATTCGCCACTGGCGCCCTGTGCTCTTCACGGATGAAAGCAGGTTCACACTGAGCACGTGACAGACGTGACAGAGTCTGGAGAACGTTCTGCTGCCTGCAACATCCTCCAGCATGACCGGTTTGGCGGTGGGTCAGTCATGGTATGGGGTGGCATTTCTTTGGGGGGCCGCACAGCCCTCCATGTGCTCGCCAGAGGTAGCCTGACTGCCATTAGGTACTGAGATGAGATCCTCAGACCCCTTGTGAGACCATATGCTGGTGCAGTTGGCCCTGGGTTCCTCCTAATGCAAGACAATGCTAGACCTCATGTGGCTGGAGTGTGTCAGCAGTTCCTGCAAGAGGAAGGCATTGATGCTATGGACTGGCCCGCCCGTTCCCCAGACCTGAATCCAATTGAGCACATCTGGGACATCATGTCTCGCTCCATCCACCAACGCCACGTTGCACCACAGACTGTCCAGGAGTTGGCGGATGCTTTAGTCCAGGTCTGGGAGGAGATCCCTCAGGAGACCATCCGCCACCTCATCAGGAGCATGCCCAGGCGTTGTAGGGAGGTCATACAGGCACGTGGAGGCCACACACACTACTGAGCCTCATTTTGACTTGTTTTAAGGACATTACATCAAAGTTGGATCATCCTGTAGTGTGGTTTTCCACTTTCATTTTGAGGGTGACTCCAAATCCAGACCTCCATGGGTTGATAAATTTGATTTCCATTGACATCTTTTGTGTGATTTTTGTTGTCAGCACATTCAACTATGTAAAGGAAAAAAGTATTTAATAAGATTATTTCATTAATTCAGATCTGTTATTTTAGTGTTCCCTTTATTTTTTTGAGCAGTGTATTTCTGTGCATACTTTCCGTTGAAGCTTGCATCGATACATGCTTTAAAATGTGTACAAGCGGAGTACGCATCCGAGAGGTGCCCTCCGCGCTCCATTTCACATACTTTGATTTGGACTCGTACTCCGACTGGTGCATGCTCCAATTCGCGTGCTCAGAGCACGGTAGTATGCATTTTGAGAAACACCCAACATGTCAGTTTCCACTTCAATGTCAAAGTGCTGTAGTTGGCCAACCATTGACACCTGCCTGGGATAGTTCTTCCAATAGCCCTGATGGTAATAATATGATGTTCTGTGTAGTGACCTGTTTGCCTGTGTCTCTGTCCTTCAGTTTGCAGTGAACATGTTCAGGACGTTGCCTCCATCATCCAACCCCACAGGGGCTGAGTTTGACCCCGAGGAGGATGAGCCCACACTAGAGGCCGCGTGGCCACACCTCCAGGTATATGTTCGCGCACACACACGCAGTCACACACACACACACACACACACACACACACACACACACACACACACAACAAGGAAATTAACACACGCACCGTTTCATACCACTGATGTGTACACCTCTGTTCCTCTTTCTCCAGCTCGTCTATGAGTTCTTCCTCCGGTTTCTAGAGTCTCCAGACTTTCAACCAAATGTGGCCAAGAAGTATATCGACCAGAAATTTGTAATGCAGGTAGCTAGGCACTGGTCCTTTCTCACTGGAAGTAAAGAAACAGGATGTGAGATTATGTGTGTCTGTCGCCGAGTGTGTCTCCGCGTGTGCATCTCCGCGTGTGCATCTCTATGCATTTCTTTTTTGCGTGTGGTCTGTGTGTGTGTGAGAGAACAGGTGATTTAATGTCACTACATGCGTTGTCTCTACAGCTATTGGACCTGTTTGACAGTGAAGACCCCAGGGAAAGGGACTTTCTAAAGACAACTCTGCATCGTATCTACGGCAAGTTCCTGGGCCTGAGAGCGTACATCAGGAAACAGATAAATAACATATTCTATAAGTGAGTAAATGGTCCTAATACTGCACTATGAAATTGTATTGTCATACACTGAGTGTACAAAACATTAAGAACACCTGCTCTTTCATGACATAGACTGACCAAATGAAAGCTACGGTATGATCCCTTATTTATGTCACTTGTTAAAGACACTTCAATCAGTGTAGATGAAGGGGAGAGGACAGGTTAAAGAAGGATTTTTAAGCCTTGAGACAATTGAGGCATGGATTGTGTGCAATTCAGAGGTTGAATGGGCAAGACCAAAGATTTAACTGCCTTTGAACAGGGTATGGTATTAGGTGCCAGGCGGATCGGTTTGTCAAGAATCACAACACTGCTGGGTATTTCACACAACAGTTTCCCGTGTGTATCAAGAATGGTCCACCACCCAAAGGACATCCAGCCAACTAGACACAACCGTGGGAAGCATTGGAGTCAACATGGGCCAGCATCCCTGTGGCACGCTTTCGACACCTTGTAAAGTCCATGCCCCGACAAATTGAGGCTGTTTTGAGGGCGGGGGGGGGGGGGGGGGGTGCAGCTCAATATTAGGAAGGTGTTCTTAATGTTCTGTACACTCAGTGTCTGAGTCGTGTCATCATTGGAGACACTTGACATGACGAATGCCAATGTTTAAATATACCATTTATTTAACTGCTCTGTTTTGCTTTCGTGATTTTAAATGACATAACTGTCATTTCTTTCCAGGTTCATTTATGAAACAGAACATCATAACGGAATAGCAGAGTTGTTGGAAATATTAGGAAGGTATTTGATGCTTTAATAGTTTTTGTGCCTACATTGTTTTGTTGTATTGATCAGAAGTATTATATTGCTGATCACAACCTTTTCTGCTTCTATCTGTTTGCAGCATAATCAATGGCTTTGCCTTACCGTTGAAAGAGGAGCACAAGATTTTCCTGTTGAAAGTGTTGCTGCCTTTACACAAAGTCAAGTCCCTTAGTGTCTATCACCCACAGGTAGCTATCCATAACTACCTTTGTTTTTGAAACATAATTCCTGTTAATGACCGTACAGTTAAAAAAGCCTTAGGCCTGCTATACAATAAACCTTTTGATTTAGGCCTAAATGCGTTATAGGTTGTAATAAGCGTTCATTACAGTTGTATTAAGCGGTGTCGACATGATGGTTGTAGTTAAAATTGCTATTTTGTGTATCTGTTTGTCTTTCTAGCTGGCGTACTGCGTGGTGCAGTTTCTAGAGAAGGACAGCACCCTCACTGAACCGGTAAGACATCCCCAACGGACTGCGTGAGATTAGTACTTTGCTCTAATGCTGGCTTAGTGTTAATGTGTGAATCTTCTCCATAGACAGTGATGGCTCTGTTGAAGTACTGGCCAAAGACCCACAGCTCTGTGTGTGACTAGTTAGACCCACAGCTCTGTGTGTGACTAGTTAGACCCACAGCCCTGTGTGTGACTAGTTAGACCCACAGCTCTGTGTGTGACTAGTTAGACCCACAGCTCTGTGTGTGACTAGTTAGACCCACAGCTCTGTGTGTGACTAGTTAGACCCACAGCTCTGTGTGTGACTAGTTGACCCACAGCCCTGTGTGTGACTAGTTAGACCCACAGCTCTGTGTGTGACTAGTTAGACCCACAGCTCTGTGTGTGACTAGTTAGACCCACAGCCCTATGTGTGACTAGTTAGACCCACAGCTCTGTGTGTGTGACTAGTTAGACCCACAGCTCTGTGTGACTAGTTAGACCCACAGCTCTGTGTGACTAGTTAGACCCACAGCCCTGTGTGTGACAATTTAGACCCACAGCCCTGTGTGTGACTAGTTAGACCCACAGCTCTGTGTGTGACTAGTTAGACCCACAGCTCTGTGTGTGACTAGTTAGACCCACAGCCCTGTGTGTGACTAGTTAGACCCACAGCTCTGTGTGACTAGTTAGACCCACAGCCCTGTGTGTGACTAGTTAGACCCACAGCCCTGTGTGTGACTAGTTAGACCCACAGCCCTGTGTGTGACTAGTTAGACCCACAGCCATGTGTGTGACTAGTTAGACCCACAGCTCTGTGTGTGACTAGTTTAGACCCACAGCCCTGTGTGTGACTAGTTAGACCCACAGCTCTGTGTGTGACTAGTTAGACCCACAGCCCTGTGTGTGACTAGTTAGACCCACAGCTCTGTGTGTGACTAGTTAGACCCACAGCTCTGTGTGTGTGACTAGTTAGACCCACAGCCCTGTGTGTGACTAGTTGACCCACATCCCTGTGTGTGTGACTAGTTAGACCCACAGCTCTGTGTGTGTGACTAGTTAGACCCACAGCTCTGTGTGTGTGACTAGTTAGACCCACAGCTCTGTGTGTGTGACTAGTTAGACCCACAGCTCTGTGTGTGTGACTAGTTAGTTCAATATTAATGTATGGCTCTAATCTTCTCTCCTATAGACAGTGATGGCTCTGTTGAAGTACTGGCCAAAGACCCACAGTCCAAAGGAGGTGATGTTCCTCAATGAGCTGGAGGAAATCCTGGACGTCATCGAACCCTCTGAGTTCGTCAAGGTCATGGAGCCTCTCTTCAGACAGCTGGCCAAGTGTGTGTCCAGCCCTCACTTCCAGGTGTGTGTTTGCTCTGGTTGAACTCAAGCAGAGTGTGTGTGTGTGTGTGTGCGTGAGCGCGTTGCACATATGTGTATGTAGTGCCTGTCCATGCTTGTGTGTGTGGTTCTGTGCTATGTTGAAACCTGACTAGGCATCCCTGTCTCCTTATGTGTGTGTCAGGTTGCAGAGAGAGCGCTGTACTACTGGAACAACGAGTACATCATGAGTCTGATCAGTGACAACGCTGCCAGGATCCTCCCTATCATGTTCCCCTCGCTCTACCTCAACTCCAAGACCCACTGGAACAAGTGAGCCACTCAACTACCTACTGCTATGGAGCAGACTCTCTTCCCTCTCTGTTTACTGCCCTGTGATAGGGAAGTTAACAACACGTTTGTTTTATTGTTATGCACTCCTGGGTCCATATGTATCGTTAATGTGTGTGTGTGTGTGCAGGACGATCCATGGTCTGATATACAATGCCCTGAAGCTCTTCATGGAGATGAACCAGAAGCTGTTTGATGACTGCACACAGCAGTTCAGAACAGAGAAGAACAAGTAAAACTCCTTTACCTCTAAACACACACACTGAATAACATATTTGTCATAACTGTTCATTCATTCGCAACGTCCACCCACAGTTTCATTCTATGTCTGTCTCCACTTAGCAGATTTAATCTTGAAATGACTCTGAAATGACTGTTCTGCTGTCGTCTGATCTCTGTTCCGCTGTCGTTGTCTGATCTCTGTTCCGCTGTCATTGTGTGATGACTGTTGATCCACTGTTGTTGTGATGTCTGTTCCCCTGTCACCCTAAACCTGGCGTTGTGTGTGTGTTTGTGCAGAGAGAAGGCCAAGTGGAAAGAGAGAGAAGAGGCGTGGGTGAAGATTGAGAATCTGGCCAAGTCCAACCCTCAGGTGAGCTCTAAGCATCACTCCTCGTGTGTGTGTGTTACTCCAGCCCTGTTGTCTCTTGCGCTCTCAACCATTTTACATTTTAGTCATTTAGCAGACACTCTTATCCAGAGCAACTTACAGTAGTGAGTGCATACATTTTCGTACTGGTCCCCCGTGGGAATCGAACCCACAACCCTGGAGTTGCAAGTGCCATTCTCTACCAACTGAGCCACAAGGGATCAACCCAGTAGTATTGCCGCTAGTCCTCCACCACAGGACAGCCCAGGCAGCACCAAATAGGTAGGTGTATTCTATGGCTGTTCTGTGTCTATGGCTGTTCTGTGTCTATGGCTCAGAGCCCAACAACAACCTCCCAGCAGAACCTGACACACAGCTAAGGCAGGAAATCATCTCTGACTCATCATCATGGATTTGACCAAATTATCTAAAAGGGTATATAATTATCTTTGGTTCTGGGAGTCCCTCACCTCTCTCTGGCTGGGTTTACTTCCTGGTGTGTCATTATAATCCTCCCCCCTCTCTCTCTCTCTTGCTGTGTTTAGTTCCTGGTGTACGTGGACCCGTCAGACTTGGGTAGTCCTATGGAGACAGACGGACCAATGATGGAGGATGTTAACATCTTGAAGAAGACTATAGAGGAAGAAGCCACACAGGTACTGTGTGTTGTTGGTACAAGGGTGTGTAATGTGTGTGTGTGTATCTGTTGGCAGGCGGGCTAGCATGCTATTCCTCTGTCGTCCTCCATGCTGTCAGTCAGTGCATTGCATCTAAGCTAACATATGGAATTGCTTTAAGATGGTCATACCAAGGATCATTTAGCTATTAGATTTTTTATTTTAAGGCCCCTGAAGGTATAAAAAAAATATATATAAAAAAATGATTTGGCTTTACTGCTATTAGCCAATAGAAACGGATTGAATAGCAGATTCATTGGCACAACAGATAGTAAAAGTTAGTTTTTTGCATGTATTTATCACCTTATTTTAGGCACTAAACTATCTCCATATATATACTGACATAATTTTTCTTAACTGGTACCGGGGACATTCTGATGAGGCTTGTGGGCGAGAGTCTCAGCTGTCCACAGATTGGTCATATTAGTGTGTAGCCCAAACCGTTCGGTCACTGCAGACAGAAGTTGGCAGAAGAGGCTGTACCGACTTCAGACGAGTCTTGTGAGGCTTGTGGGCTACCTAGAGCAAAACGGGAAAATACATAGTTTTTGTGAGTCATCTTTCAATAGTGGTCATAATACTTTGTAGGCCAAAGTGTTCAGACGTTTTTTGTGAAAATAAAGATTTTTGGGATGTCTCATGGTCTGACAAACACCGCTCTAGCTCTGCCACCTTTCACCGCAGATGCGGAAGGGCGATATCGGCCGCTGCGGTATTTTGAGACGCAGCCCATGCAAAAAAACGTATCTCTAGCTTAAACAGACGGGGGCGCAGAAATTGTAGGCTAAGGGTTAAAAGACTGGTCGAGACAGACGTGTACGAACAGGAGCAGTGTAGCATGGGTAGGAGTAGAAGTGTGTCACTCACAGCCCTCTCCTGACCCTGTCCCTCTCCTCTCACCTACTGCCCAGGCTGTGTCATAAATGAGCCCTATGGGCCCTGGTCCAAAGTAGTGCACAACATAGGGAATAGGGTGCCATTTGGGACGCAGCCTGGGCTGTAGAGGAGAGGGTCAGGGATAGGGCTGTGAGTGATGTACTTATTAACAGGATCAGATGTCTATAGGCAGGCTCACATTTCTAAGGCAGGGGAGAGCTGACAGTAATGAATACTAGAGTGTATACTTCAGTGTACACTCTACAGCATAATGTACATTTCATACCGGACTACTAAATGGCTAGGACATGATGGATTGGGCTTAGTTGGCTATACAATATGAAGCACTTTGAGTTGTGATCTAGTCAAGACGTGATAGACCTAGTTAAACATTTGTTTAGGGGGATAAGCTCTCTGGATGTGTAACTGTTCCCCCATATCTTGGAGCAGAGGATGTGTGATCAGTCTAATGTCTCGATAAGGCCAGGCATCATCTCTAGCGATCAAACAACTGGAGGTCATTCATTATCAAAGTTGGGAGCGGGAAACGAGGATATACCATAGTGCCCACAAAGCTCATCACTAAGCTAAGGACCCTGGTACTGAACACCTCCCTCTGCAACTGGATCCTGGACTTCCTGACGGGCTGCCCCAAGGTGGTAAGGGTAGGCAACAACAAATCTACCACGCTGATCCTCAACACAGGAGTGCGTGCGTAGTCCCGTCCTGTACTCCTTGTTCACCCACGACTACGTGGCCAAGCACAACTCCAACACCATCATTAAGTTTGCTGACGACACAACGGTGGTAGGCGTGATCACCGACAACGATGAGACATCCTATAGGGAGGAGGTGGGAGACCTGGCAGTGTGGTGCCTGGAAAACAACCTCTCCCTCAACGTGAGCAAGACAAAGGAGCTGATCGTTGGCTACAGGAAAAGGAGGGCTGAACACGCCCCCATTCACATCGAAGGGGCTGTAGTGGAGCGGGTCGAGAGTTTCAAGTTCCTTGGTGTCCACATCACCAACAAACTATAATGGTCCAAACACACCAAGACAGTCGTGAAGAGGGCACGACAACACCTTTTCCCCCTCAGGAGACTGAAAAGATTTGGCATGGGTCCCCAGATCCTCAAAGTTCTACAGCTGCACCATCGAGAGCCTCCTGACCGGTTGCATCACTACCTGGTATGGCAACTGCTCGGCATTCGACCGTAAGGCGCTACAGAGGGTAGTGTGTATGGCCCAGTACATCATTGGGGCTAAGCTTCCTGCCATCCAGGACCTATATACTAGGTGGTGTCAGATGAAGGCCCAAAATATTGTCAACGACTCCAGTCACCCAAGTCATAGACTGTTCTCTCTGCTACTGCACGGCAAACGGTACTGGTGCACCAAGTCTAGGTCCAAAAGGCTCCTTAACAGCCCTAAGACTGCTCAACAATTAATCAAATGGCCACCGGGACTATTAACTCGCTGTGTATTATCTATGCATAGTCACTTTACCCCTACCTACATGTACAAATTACCTCAACTAACCTGTACCCCTGCACATTGATTCGGTACCAGTACCCCCTGTATATAGCCTCGTTATTGTTATTTTATTGTTACTTTAGTTTATTTAGTAAATATGTTCTTAATTATATTTCTTGAACTGCATTGTTTTATTAAGGGCTTGTAAGTAAGCCCTGTTGTATTCGGCTTGTGACAAATAAAATTTGATTTAGCTACTTAGCTGGGATCCTTAATGGTGAAACAGTTATGTCCGTTTGGGATATTACAACAACAAAGAAGTTACTGCAAACAAAGAACCAGTAATTGTTTTTCCTCTGACATCACTGCATGTGCAATAGAACAGCATATTTTTTAGTTTTTGGTATGACTGGAGCGTAACTGTTATCCCTCTCCCCCCGATAGCTCCAGAGGAACGAGCGTAAGGAGCGTCCGCTGGTCAGGAGGAAGTCTGAGCTGCCTCAGGACATCTCCACCGTCAAGGCCCTGGAGACTCACCGGAGGGCTGAGGACATGGTCACACCACACGATGGACACTAGAGACCACACACACACACAGTACAGACACACACACACACACGCAGTACAGACAGTCAGACATACACAGACACATACTGACAGACCGACACCACATACTGACAGACAGACCAGCCCCCAGAGGCCCAGCACAGACAAGGTCCAGACCAGAATAGAACAAAACAGAATGGCCTAGCTGAAAGAAGCTGCAGCTCAAACAACTCTGCCCAGTCCAACTATGAATTGATCCCCAGTCCGATCAAGCCCTGCCCAGAGATGTCAATGGCACAGGACAGTATGGCACGACCACCAAACGTGACATTGTTTCTCTCTCAAAAGCTTTCTAGAGTGCAGTGATGTTCCCTTCTAGTCATTTCTCTCAGGTCTTCTGTTCTTGTTTTAATTTGTTGGTTTCTTTCTGTTATTTTTCTCTCATTCTAGATGTTATGTGCAATAGGACTGGCAGACAGACATGTATTATAGATGCATACTGTACGTAACAGGCGAAGGAAGAAGCAGTTTTGTCTTCTCTCTCAGCATAGAGAGGAATGCACAGTACTTCTCTCTCACCTGTTTATTCTTAGTTGCCTAGTTACAGCTGCTATTGCCATAAGCTTCATCTTTCTCTCTTTGTTTCTTGTGTTCTGCTAGGATTGATTTGATAGGAGGTGAAGTATTGGGGACCGTCAAAAGACGTTGTTGTAATAAAGTTGTGTGGCTCTAAACGTGTTGGCCTGAGTGAAAGGGGGGTTCTTCTGTCCTCCACTGGACGTCAGCTGGTCTGTACAAACCTAGTTTGGTGCCAACCTCACTCTTGCTTTTTTTCTTTGCTTTTTTTAACTTATCCACCCATTTTTAGCTGTATGATATTGTAGGCAATAAGTTGTCCCAGGTTTCAGTGTGTGTGTGTGGTTGGTTCAAACAATGGTTAATGGTTTTCTAAGACTGAGGGCACAGCACATCAATGGTTTTCTGGATCCATTGGAGTTTACTGTCCATGTGAACACGTCAATCCCCATTCCCTGTCAGTCTGTTTTTGTCTTTGTTCATAATCAGTATCGATCAATATATCGAAGTCCTGTCATGTTAGTGTTGTGAAAATTCTGAGGTCTATGTTCTAGTTCAGTGTTTACAGACTCCTGTTGAGCTTTAGTGTGTGAGTGGGAGGAGACGAGAGGAGCTGTACTGGGCTACACACAGAGGAATACTACTCTTCATAACCAAGACCCCTCTCTTTCTGATGTTGCTTTTAAGTAGTAGCCTAGTTCAGTCATATAAAGACCATTCTGTCTGTAGTCAGTCAAAATTGAACACAAGCCTTTCCTTTCATAGTGCCTTTATTGTACAAGCTTCTAAACTGAGAATAGAATAGCAGCGTTATGTGAATGCCAAACCATGTTCAATTTAGCATTAGCTTCCCAACAGACCAGAAAGAGGCACGTAGACACACACCCAGAGTATTCAGTATGTATTTAGGGCCGTGTCGAGTGTAAAACGCATACCAGCTGTTTTGTTAAATCTACAAAGCAGATCAATGATTGTTGTCAAGCTAGAGAGGAGTGGAGAAGCCCCAAAGACTTAACATAGAAGCACTTCCTGATAAAACTTGAATAAAAACACAAGATCCAAAATGAGTTGAAATCATTTGTGCTGTCTGGTCTGTTTTAGTTCTAATGAAAAACGTGTAGAGAAGGATGCTCCCCATTCAACCTGATCTTATTCCCCCTGTTCCATTTAGGATGTGTCCCAAATGGCATCTTATTCCCCTAGAGCCCTATGGACCGTGGTCAAAAGAAGTGCACTATATAGGAAATAGTGTGCCATTTGAGACACAACAAGAGTATTGATGTGACGTGTATGTGATACAACACCATTGTTTGAGCCCCCAGACATACATGCACTCTGGCTGTATCCCTGTAGAGAAGCTCTCTGTGTGTGTGTGTGTGTGCACGCGACACTGCTTCTGGATGTGTGCAGGGTCTTTTCCATTGCCTGCAAAAACTCTGATGTTCAGATTGAATGTGCAAGTTGTAAATATGCTACTATTACTACCATGATCACATTGTTTTGCTGTCTCTTTCTAGATTATTTTCTTTGTCTTAAAGAATAACATTCACCATTCATTTATCCCCCCCCCCCCCCCCCCCCAAACTATTTTGTTGTAAAATTACTAAAAGTAAGAATAGAGTGCTTTATAGATGGCACAAACAAAACTGGATTGCAGCAGGGTTGGGTCAATTTAGGAAGTAATCTGAAATACCAATTTTCCTCATTGCTTCTCAGAGGAGTATTGGAATTTCAGTTGACTGAATGTAAATGGATACCTGGCTGTTCCCAGTGTCCTGAGAGCAGAGAGGACTCTGTTGGTGATTGTTGTTCTTCATCAAATTGCTTTAATATTTTAGCTTCTTTGGCGCCCTCTTCATTTTACATATGGTTTTGTTTTCTTTGAAAAGAATGATTCTGAAAGTGTCTTTTGGTATACACCCTGTATTATAATTGCCTCATCTAATATTGTACATATAATGTACTTTTATTTTATGTTATAGCTATTACATGGTAGATGTCATATTTTGTACAGAATGCCCCCTGTGTACAGGAACAGGTTATTAGCTATGACAGTTGGGATGTGGCACAGACTTCAACGCAAAACATGACCTATATGCATTTAGAACCGTTTAGAATTTGGATTCTACAATTTTTTATCGATTTGTAATTCAACATTTTGTTTGTTTCAGCATTTAAAAGTATGTGATGAGATCCTACATACATTAGCATTGTGTGTGTGTGCTTTTATCCAAAATCTCCAGTGGTGTACATCTATCTAGCTGAATATGGTAAATAAAGAGAACATGTGAGTTTTTATATTTTCATCCTAGAACAGGGATAGAGTGCTTTCATGATTTGCCTCATTCCTCCTTGCCTACCCTTGGAAGCCCGTGTGAAGAGATTTGGAAGGATGGCCACGTGAGACTACTCCTTGATGAACTGTGTCCCCCTATCCCTCTTATTTAGTTCTGTATCCATGGTCACAGATCACTTATCAAGGTTTCAGACTCCTCTCCATCACAGTCTGGAGATTGCCTTTATGACTAGCCTACTATATCTCCACATAATAACACATCACCCCTGAGAGAATATTAACATTTAGCAGAAGCTTGTTTTTTAATATGTTTTACAGTAAAAGGCATAAACTGACTTATACCCGAAAACGTTTTTATAGAGGTACTGACTAACGCAGAGTAAACTATAAAAAATAAAGTTGTGAACACTAATTATGCTCCCAAACATTTAATAGTTATTTCCTTTGATACTTTATGCAAACGATACCGATTGCATTAACGGCAGAGCTGTTTTATTGACTGTTCCAATATCTAGCGTACAATTTAGAAATAACCTATTAACATGATGTAGGTAAAGTCTGCAGGTATAATGCATAATATTTTGTGGATAAAAATGGGGTTTAGGTGGTGGGTGTGGTCAATGGTGCAGTCGCTGACCTAAAAATGTAGTGGCTCCTGTTGGCCACAGTGACCAAATTAGCTGTTTTAAAGCTAATTTCTTGCAATTCAACACATTTTGCCATGTAGCGGAAATAAAATGTTGCAGTTTTAAAGCACATTTTTTCCTTCAATTCTACGCATTTGGCCATTGCTTATGCTATCTGAGTGACTCAAACATAAAATTAATGGGTGCCACATGCCATGACACAAATACTCCTGAATAACTAGGTTTCCATCCAGTTGGCAACAGATTTTAATGTTAATATTCTAAAATATACATAAAAACAATATGCACATTTTCCCACCAGAGAGGTTTCCATCATGTTGCAGATAAAAGGCTGTGCGTGGTGACGTAGTGCACATGAAAATACCTTTTTGCGGTTAAATTCCCATGTACCGAATAAAAAATAAAAGTTTAATGGGTTTATTATGAGATTATTATGGACAAAAGAGCAAGATTATTATTATTAAACGGCAGCCAATCCTCGATCATGTCACCGTAATAAGACCCTCGATATTTATTGGAAAGGAGCATCGAGCTCATCACCTTGCACTTTCACGACCCGGTGAAGTTCATAACTTATTTAATGTGTAACCTAATAAACTGCATGCTTTCCTGACGAGTCGTAGTGGGAGGACCACATAACCTGTCATCGCGTGACTCCAAGTTTACTTCGATATGATGGTTATTATATCATATTTGAGCATAAGAGCGTTTCCGCTGACATTTTTCGCATAATTAATTTTACCGACACAAAAAGATTCCAACTTGTCTACCGTATTTTGTTTTGTCGACATTTGGAAAGTTTACCGGAAAATGTTCTGTTTCCACCAGGCCTATCATGTCATTTTTTTTATCCGACGTATTTTTGCCAGCAGCATATCACCCTGCATCCCACTGCTGGTTTACCTCTGAAGCTAAGCAGTGTCGGTTGTGTTCGGTCCCTGGATGGGAGACCAGATGCTGCTGGAAGTGGTGCTGGACGGCCAGTAGGAGGCACTCTTTCTGGTCTAAAAAAAATATCCCAATGCTGCAGGGCTGTGATTGGGAACATTGCCCTGTGTAGGGGATGTTAAATGGTTGTCCTGACTCTGTGGTCATCTAAAGATCCCATGCCACTTATTGTTAGAGTAGGGGTGTTAACCCTGGTATCCTGGCTAAACTCCCAATCTGGCCCTCATACCATCATGGCCACCTAATCATCCCCAGCTTCCAATTGGCTAATTCATCTCCTGTGTAACTATTCCCCAGGTTGTTGCTGTAAATGAGAATGTGGTCTCAGTCAACTTAACCTGGTAAAAAAAAGTACTCTCATAAAAATGTTTGATGCCTAACTTTTAGATTCTCCCTGACTGTCTAGCTTTTCTACATACTTTATATCTGATTTTAGTTGTTTAAGTTTACACTGAAAACATTTTTTCATCCCGAAAATTATTTTCTACTAATAATAAATACAATAATTTAATAGTTTGACAGGCTTCCCGGCAAAAAACTTTGGTGGCATGCCCAATACTTTTCTATGCAGAACAAACCCTGATGCAGTTATAATGTATTATGATGCAGTCATAATGCATTGTATGACTTTATTAGCATGTATGACCCCCTTATGTTTTGTCTCATTGTCATGAGTATATTGGAACGTAGACAACGTAGTCGCCTGTCTTTAAAAAAAATAAAAATATTACACCACCTACGATGTCCAAAAGGAAGGAAGCAACAAGTTTTTTCCAAGCATTGAAACCGGGCCCCAGGATCAAGCTCCCAGACTAGAGCATCCTATTGTAACCCTCTGCTACCGTCTTGTGGTTTAAAATGGTCACTTCTTTATTCACACAGCACCAGAAATCAAATACAAGTAACAAGGAATCTTTAGATCATAGTGAACCAGTGACAATCTGAAGAGATTTGCTACTCTGGCATTTGAAGTACTAGACAAGAGGCCAGTTGCATAAAACTGATTGGAGCTGTCGGGGGTCTTGTTATTGCTTTGAAATACTATTCAAAATTTTGTTAGCCTGTTGCATAAATGGGATGACCTACTGACAGACGAGGACCTAGGCAAAGTCTGGGGACTTAGTTTACACATTTGAACCAGACCAGGGTCAAATTCATATGTCAAATACTCCAATGTTGAGATTAGTCCAGATTAAAGTCTGTTCACTGACACATTGGGGAAGACTTCTCTTGCAGGTTAGTTACAGCATATTGTTAATAATAATTTGGTGGGTGCTTATATTTGTTATATTTCACACATGTACAAGTGTGTATTATACGCATATGTGAATTGGAAATGTTTTGCATATCCCAACTCCCCCTGAGACACCCTTGGAGAGTGGAGCCACAGCCAGGGTCAGTCATAATACCCACCAGAGGATGAAATTGTCTTGAAAAATGTTGACAGCAATCAGGACAAAATATGTACCCTGACATCTGCTTTAGGGAGCGGTAAATCGGTGGCCAATGATGGTTGCAATTGAGCAATCAGCTATGTGGGTGATTTTAGCATGTATTGATGGTTTAGCGACAGATTACCTTGTGTTCGAACTTCGAATGCTGGCCATTGCTCGTTACAATAGGCCAGCGTTGTCTACAAGCTTGATCGGATTGAATTCCGGCCTATTTTATGTTGGGTTATGTTATGTTATATATAGTATATTAGATATGATGTGATCCAACAGAAGACATTAAGAGGAAACTCTAATCAAATATGAAACTTAATTTTGCAGGAAGGCCTTGTGCAGGCCCTATCTATTTTGAAACTCACCTCACAGGCTACGTCCCAATGTCCATAGCATACCAAGTCTTAATGTATGCCCAATACATGACCTCTTAAATGGTGTTCTAGTGCATTGTCTTACATCAGATTCCGCCTGCACTGAGGGACGAGCCTCATGCATGAGTGACGCCACCTGACAATGATTCCAGTGTGGATATTGGACCAGAGCCTCACAGTACCAAGAGGCCAAACCTCTAACCTTATTAGTTGTTATCCACCAATATAAGCTTCCAGGGCTGCGTCCCAATTGGCAACCTATTCCCTATTTAGTGCACTATCTTTGACCAGGGTCCATAGGGCTCTGGGCAAAAGGGGTGCACTGTATAGTGAATGCGGTGCCATTTGGAACGCACAGCTAGATGAGGTAAGTGTATTTCTGGGCTGTGCTGTCTAGCTGGTGGTGTAGTGGGCCAATTGGCCACACAGTGCCAGCCCCTGACTGTTAATTGGTTGTTCCGGGGTCATGCAGTTCTCCAGCGACTTAGAGAGCAGATGGGGCTGACTGTCGCATGGCGGCCGCCCCTCCTAGGCACCCCTGCTGAGCCCTGCTCTGCTCTGGTCCCACACCATCCATCCATCCAACACACGGACCGACACGCTCAGCCGCTCAGGGAATCATGTCTATAATGAATATGCTCAATCAACGCCATGATCCTTATCAGGATAATAACAATGATTATTGTGATGATGATGGTGATGATGGTGGATATGGTTATGATGATGATACATACAGTAATTCTTCATTTCGTTGTCTGGTGGTAACCTAGTCAGAATATACTTCCATATTGTGTCGTAATAGACAGTGTGGATCACTCCCAGTTAGAACAACATTAGCCACAGGCTAACCTCAGTCTGTGCCATAATCATTCCTTTATGTAAGTGAAAAGAGTGTCCGCATTTGACCCTTTGGAGGTGTTTATTAAAAACAAACAATTAGCTTTATCATCGACACATTGCTTGCCATTTATCCCAAAACAAATGTTCTCTTTGAGGAATCTGAGACGTGGGAAAATATGTCAACGGCTGGTTGTCTAAATGAGTATTTTTCTCTGTCTCTCTCTCTCTCTCTCTGGCTCCCTCTTTCTCTCTGGCTTCCTCTTTCTCTCTCTCTCCCTGTAGTTACCCTCCCTCATTCCTCTCTCGCTCTTTCTATCTTTCTCTCTGTCTCTCAGATGAGGTCGTTGAGTTCGTTGAATGTTTTCGCCTTGCTTTGTGTAGGCTACCAGAGAGTTTCAGAGAGGATATACTAGCTGTGTGCATGTTGTCCTGTATACCCCCTCTATCTCCAGTGTTAAATATTGCTACTGCGGCGCTACCCCAGGTCTCTGTATCCAAAAACATCTTATCACGACAGGATGGTGTCAGCTACTATTGCCATGGAAACACGGCTTAGAACTTTTAAGGGACCCCATTGTGATTGTGTCCAATCATATTTTAGGAAAAGCATTCGACAATGAGCATTACTTTCGTAGCAATGTCTGTGTTCCTCCCCGCCTCTCTATGACTCAGCACCCCTCTCCAGCAGCTTGTGGATGAATGGGAGATGGAGGGAAGACTGAGGGGGCCAGCTACCCAGGAAAGAGCTACTGAGGACCAGGAAGCTGACTCACACTGCTCTGGGGGTCTGGAGCAGCATGGATGTGACTCCCTCTCTTTTAATTTTCAAAGTCTATCTCTGTCTTTGTCTCTCTCTTTTCATGTATCTGTCTCTATCCATCTCTCTCTTGCACAAACATTCTCTCCCTACCTCTATCCTTCCCGCCTCTACCTCGTAGAGCTAGAACTCAGTATAGAAGCAGCGAGTGACTCCATCATAAAGAGATGAGGCCCTCAGCTGTGCTGCTTCGTAGAGAGGGATACGTTTGTTTTCCCTGACCTATTTTCTTTCTGTTCCCTTTGTCATGGGACCATGCGACTCACTCACCACCAAAACAGCTCTCTCTGTGGTCAGCAGACTGACTGGAGTGGTGAGGCAGCAGGCAGGGCCAGGGAGGGTGAGAGACAGGCAGACAGATGGGAGGAGAGGGGGAGGAAGAGAGACGGATGGAGAAAGAGTGAGAAGGAGAGAAAGTGGGAGAGTGAGAAAAAGAGAGCGAGGGAGAGGTATGCAGTTATGACACTGAAAGGGGCGTGAATCGATCTACCCAGAGAGGGAGAGAAAAACAGGGAGAAGGATGGTGAAAAAAAAGGTAGAGCAAAATAAAAATATAAAGAGAGGGGAAAGAGCGAGTGCGCGAATGAGTGGCTTTAAGCGACATACCTAGTTTAGGATACTCTACTTCACCCTGTGCTGCTCTCCTACTTTAATAATTAACCACATTTGTCAGAGAACATAAAAGTTAGCCAGAAAAGAAAGGAAATAATATAATAAGTCTTTAATGGTGCAGGAGAAAGGGCCTTCACTCAGATCAGGGGTTATGTAGGCTCCACTCTTCATTAAAACACACATCAAGTTAAATTGACCCTGAAGAGGGTAGAGAGGGATGCAGAAATAAACAGAGGGAGGGGGAAAGAGATAGAAAGAAGATAAACAAACAAACAAACAAACAAATAATGAGAGAGGTAAAGAGAGAGATGGTGATAGAACGACAGACATGGACACAATCAGAACAAAAGAGAAAGGGAGAGTGCCCAGCATTGACTTAATATGAGACAAGAACCTTGAGACTGGCTGGCTGTTTTTACCCTGTCTGCTTTTGGTCCAGCCTAGAACCATAACACAAGATGTCTGCTGAAGCTACAGGAGTCCGTCACACTTTACCAAAGCTTCTTTGTCTCCATATTGAATAAAATAGGCTGTAAATTCAGAAACAGGCTTCAAATGGTTATTCAGACTCGGAAATCAGTAGCCTACCTTATTTCAATTAACTATGCCTTTAACAAATAAATGCATTAACCAGTAACAAACATTTCTGTCAGCTACTGTATGCATTTAGCATCTTAAAGAGGTTGTAGTTACTGCTAACAGGTTTTTACCAGATGAAGATATAGGGCTGATGTTGGTGATGTTTTGTTCTGTCCTGAAGGGAGGGCTAAATAGCTACTAATCGGCCATGAAGGAAGTTGTTGTGAAGGCCACACAGGGAAAGGACAATGGATGGAAAGTTGGCACAGTTAATTGGTTTGTGAATCTGCCTTTAGGTGTTCGGATGGTACTCTATGAACTCGGTTTAAACTCAGAGTTCACCCTAGACAAAAAGAAAGCTGCCTGCGATAGGCTAGACTTACAATTCTCACCTTGTCTTTTCCCTTCAGAAAGAGAGTGCCACTTGGCCCTGAAAATAAAAACGACGGCTCAGCTGTGTTCTAGTCTAGTTCTTGAAAATAGAATGGATAATTTACTCCTAATTTCCTTGGAAATGTTCACTGGGAAATGTTTATTGATCAGAGCTGACTGGGTTAATGAATGTCGTGGCATCTTGGCTCCCTAATTTTGTTAGCTCCCTAACTATCCAAGAAAGGAAGAGAGATACATTCCTGTAGTATTACAACAGGCTCATTGTCTGTAACTGCTCTGTGACTTTGTACATTGTAATTACAAAGTAATAGGGCATCATTTTGACAAAGTACCGTTTTTAGTGACCACCACTGGGCAAAAACTGGTTGAATCAGCATTGTGTCCACGTCATTTCAACCCCAAAAATAAATGTGTTGACGATGAATCAACGAGGAAAACTGATCGGATTTGCAAAAAGTCATCAACCTAAGGGTATTCCGTCTTTTTTCCCCCAAACCTAAATCCAATGACATGGTGAAATGTTTTGTTGATTTCACGTTGAATTCACATTAGTTGACAACTCAACCAAATGTAAATCAAAACTAGATGTTGAACTGATGTCTGTGCCCAGTGGGTATGCTGTTGTTAATTAGAACCCTCTTACTTCTTAATAGGAGAAGATGCAACTTCCAGGAACTCTGCTATCTTGATTGGCTCTCCTGTGTCTTCCAGGAGCAGAGAGCACTTCTGTGATTGATGGGTATTTTCTGGCTGAACTCTTTCCCAGGAACCATCTTAAAGATTGATTCCGATTTCCGCCTTTGCCACATTATGAGATTTCACAGTGTGTTCAGTGTTAGGAGGACACCCCGATTTTCCAGGAAATAGATGCCCTTAGGAAACTATAGACATGGGCCCTGTTCTGATATCTGCACTAACATACCACTTAGAATGAAGCTATGTATTGGGCATGCTTTCTAAACGATATGCTAGTGTGTATATTGGAACCTAGCCATGGTTCCTACACTCTTAGAAAAAAAGCTGCTACTAGAACCATAAAGGGTTCTGCAATTGTCCCCATTGGAGATCCCTTTGAAGAACCCTTTTTGGTTCCAGGTAAAAGCCCTTTTGAGTTTCATGCCGAACCCTTTTTACAGAGGGTTCTACATGGAACCCAAAATGGTTCTTCCTGGAACAAAAAAGGGTTCTACCTGGAACTAAAAATGGTTCTACCTTGAACTAAATAGGGTTATCCTATGGGGACAGACAAAGAACCCTTTTGGAACCCTTTTTTCTAAAAGTGTAGGAGAAGAGACGAGAGAATATATGATGATATATTTAGAAGACAAGGGGCCGACAGTGTTAGAATCTGAACGATGAGCAATCAGTCCAGGCGAGCTGAGAGTTAGCCACCAAGATCCAATTGGCTGAAGAGGAGCGAGAAGGATGGGAGGAGAGCTGTATTTTGTGCTGGAGTGGGAGCTTGGAGGGTGGGGGGATGTATGAAACTGGGGTGCTGAGAGTTCATCTGAGGTAAGGCGAGGTGAGAGGAGGAGAGCCGCCGTGATCTCAGTTCAGTTGATAAGGGACAGGCAGAGCTGTGTCTGTGTGTGTTGTCTGTCTGTGTGTGTGTCAAGAGGATAACGCTGTGTTGGTCTCCTCAGCAGTAATCCAATCAACAGGGAAGCTGGGACGGCTGACTGTCAGGATACCACAGAGTTACACCAGGACACTCTCCCGCTGTCACCGTCTGAAGCAACACACACACACACACACACACACACACACACACACACACACACACACACACACACACACACACACACACACACACACACAGGGACTATGCTATTGTTTACCACAGTCAAATGGGAACAACAACACCCTCTCTGTGTGAGAGTCTGGTGGGTAGGTTATTGTGTGTCTGGCTGCAGCTGCAGCTGTACTGTATGTGGGCCAAAGGTACATTCAGACCACACTGGAAAACCACAGGTATCCAAGACCACACTCTGACTGTCAGGAACAGGAGTAGGCAATCTTACCCTGCCAGGACGTGTGTGTGCGTCCAGTCTTTTTTTCTTCAGCCAAGCTGTAACACACAGTGATTCTACTAATCAAAGCCTTGATTAGAGAATATGATTAGTTGATTTGTAGAATCCGGTGTGTTTCTGCATGGATGGAGCATTTGTACATTTGAGTAAGAAGAATGACGTGTACCAATGTGTATTTATAAGTACACCAGATCAAAGATGCATTAAAAAATATATTTCTGACATGATAATGAGCTAATTATTAATTTGATATCAAGGACATTTTATTGCAGACACCAAAAGATCCGGCATGGGGTGGAACGAGATTGAGCAGACAGCCCAGAACAGAGTCCGATGGAGAGGAGTCGTCGATGGCCTATGGTCCCTGGGGAACGATGAGCCTAAGTAAGCAAGTAGAGACGTTTTATCACAGTTTTTACAGTCCAACTGCTCAACATGATCACACTATTGGTAGAATTAGTGTAGAATACAGTATAATAATTTACTGTTTTTTAAAGTTAAATTCGGCACTCTTTTTAAAAATGAAATTCCATAAGAACATTTAAACAGAAAAAACTGCTTCATTGTTCAGCTGTTTGAGCAGACAATGAACTTGACAGATCTTCCATAATGAATGTCTTTGATGTGATAAATAAACAGAATAATGGATTCATTACTATTTCACCACACTCACATAAAACTGCTTTTAATCACTCGTTGCTCTTAGAAGTACAGTATTCAATGCAATTAATTTTGGTCTCATCTCTGTAAGTACATTTATATAATTTATGAATAGCCTAAAACAAAAGTTGTTTTATTATGAAAATATAGAAAATATATTAAACCTCTGAGTATCACTGACTGCAGTAATCTGTCAATCCGAGGGCGTTTCTTCCATGTTGTACAGAACAGAACATATCCTCCTAATTAATATTGCAACAAGTGATCTCTCCAACTCACTCCTGGGGGAATGCAGTCAAAAGGTTGAGTGGCCACATGACATCAGGGGGGCTGAGCGTAACCTCTGGTGGCAGCGAGAGAGATGTTCAGATGTTCAGCTGTGAGTCATGGTTATATGGGCTCCCGAGTGGCGCAGCGGTCTAAGGCACTGCATCTCAATGCTAGAGGCGTCACTACAGACCCTGGTTAGATTCCAGGCTGTATCACAATCCGGACGTGATTGGGAGTCCCATAGGGCGGTGCACAATTGGCCCAGCGTCGTCTGGGTTTGGCGGGGGTAGGCCGTCAATGTAAATAAGAATTTGTTCTTAACTGACTAGCCTAGTTAAATAAAGGTAAAATCATTAAAACCAGACAGGGGAAGGTTATACGGTCCATGATGAGCTGTTGGAACAGACTGTAACTTTCATATTGATTTTGTGATATCCTCTGATTGATCCTTGCGTTATCACTTCTCTGTGGCTGAAACTCTGAAAAGAAAAGGCAACCAGAGATACAGAATTCATACATAATGTCTTGGAGACCTGGCTCCTATGCCTCCCTATTGCACTCACAATCCCAATTCTGACACCAACCTCCTTCAGATTCAGGTGAGATGGTGATTGGCTGCATTATGCATTATACTACAGTACGTAGAAAACTTCAGTCACTTTACTGAAAAAGTCAAACGGTGTGTGTGCTTCCCATTTCCCAGTTTGGAACCAGGACCAGGGGCACTGCACTGGGGCTGACCATCACCTTTGACCCCTGACCCTGTGTGAGTGTGTGTGTGTGTCCAATTTATATTGTGTGTTCAGTTTCTGTTGTTTCCAATATCCGGTTTGTGTGTGTGTGTTTGTGTGTGGGTACCAGTTTCCGTTGTGACAAATGATTCATAATGTAGTATTGTATTGTACTGTGGTGTAGTGTACTGTAGACTCTGCCAACAGCTGTTGCTGTGATTTATATCACCCTGTACAAGGCCAGAGGCTCTAACATCCATGTAACATGAGACTATCTATTGAGACCCTCAACAGGCCCATGTGTAACACAAAGCCTTGACATAGAACTCTCTCAACCACACCTCCCTCCTATACACACACATACACACACACACATACACACACACACACGAGGGATGAGAAGGATAATGATAAATCAGGCCACTGGTAGAGGAAGTGCAGATGGAGGAGAGTAATCAACCAGAAGTTCAGGTACCTGAGGTCACAGGGGAAATAAGCTGATTGATGGTATTAGGAAGTTGAGTGTACTCTATGTTGGCAGCCAGGGCTCTGCCACTGCCCCACGTCAGAGGGACTGGGCCATGCGTCATACGGGGACACCTTGTTGCGCAGGAGAGTCCCTGGGACACGCAGGGAAGGGGGTAGAGAGGGAGGGAAAGGGGGGAGGAAGGGGGAGGGACAGTCTTTGTTGGGTGGCATGCTACTCTAAAGAGGCACTTGCAGATGGCCAGACAGACAAGGCATTGTCTAGAAGGGATACAGCTTTTGTCAAAATTGACTTTTCGTAGAAGGTTTAGAAGAACTTACACAGCAGGTAAGGAGATTTCATGTAGCAGGTTAGGAGAATAAAGTTAAGGTTAGGAAAAGGGTTAGGGTTAGCGAAAATGCAAAATAATCTAATTTTTTATGTCCGATTTGACAAAAGCTTTATCCTGTCGAGACATGACTGACCGACAGGCCTTAGTTGTGTAGTGAAAGGTTGCTAGTCATAACTAGCTATGCAATGCAGTCTGACCTCAATGTTTATTTTGGTATGACTAATGCTGTTGTCGAAACACGTCCTATTGATTGTTTTTTACCTGGAAACTGTGGAGAGTAGTTCTATGCTGGAGTTATTCACTGTCCTCATTGATTATGACTCAGAGGGTGAGGGGAGCAGAAGTTGTTAGGGGATCTATAACACTCCATCTTACATTCAACACACTCTCCAGTAAGATAAATGCTAATGGAGAATCAATCAGTTATTAGTTATTTCTCATTCCAGCATGAGCATTATCTCCTATTAAGGCTATCGATTCTACCTTTAGAAAGATATGTAGTTTCTAAATCTTTGTGATAGGCGATATGATTCTGTTTCAGTGACAAGCCAGAGTGTAAAAGCTAGGAGTTCGAGTTTTTAACTGTGTGCAACTGAGTCCGTTTTGAGCAGAGAACTGAGTCCGATTTCCGCCAGCCACTGTGTGATCTACAGATGGATTGATCTCATAGCAACTGAATCGCCATGGCAACCCGGGATACAGATGCCACGCTGAGGTAACCTGACGAGTGATGATTGGATGCTGGACTGACACTTTCCCCCCCCCAAAAAAAACTGACGACATCGTCTCGTCTTGTTTTCACCTTTCTTCTCTTATTTTCTTCTCTCCGTTGCAGCATTCACACCATCCCCATATAGATCTCTAATAGGTTACGATTAGATCCCATCCACTTTAGGACTGTTGTGTAATTATCATGTGTATAATTATCCTGTGTGTAATTATCATGTGTGTAATTATCATGTGTGTAATGATATATACTTTAACTTGGGTCTTACATTAACTGTTGACCATTTTTGTGTCATTATAAATATTCTAAATTCCCCAGAATGGGTAGAGAATAGATATTCACCGAACGGTGCATTGCAGCTTTCATAACAGCATAACTTCATGGATCCAATCAGAACACTGGTCCTGTGTTTTACAGACAGAGTCTGACGCACTGAGGGACTGGCAGGAACAACACTTATAGCCTCCTCTCGTGTCCATGTGTCTGCCACCCAGGCTTTCATCTATCTCTAAGTCTCCCTGGAGGAGAGGAGTGTTTGATCAAATGAAA